AGACACGAGTGTTGCCAGCTGTCACCCGGGGGCCATTAACTAGGAAACTGGAAAACTTCCAAGACGCGAATTTCCGAACACGCGGCAGCAGTACGGAAAAATTAAACCAATTCTCCAGTCGCGTTTCATTCGACGAGACTCAGCCACCATTCAAACTTGATGGAGCCGAAACTTTCGTGAGGGGGGTCAGTAATGCAGGACGCGAGTTAATTTAATCATGGTTCACGGTTTCCCAGTCTATAAAGAAGTACAATTAGCTGCCTAATCCATATTCGCGGCTGGAGCTCAATTTGGCCAAAGTAATTCGGGCAACACGCAGCCGAAAGCTCCGTCTAACGCCAGCAGCAAGGAGCCGGATGGTCGAGCGATAATCACGCCCAAGTCCACAATGGGTGATGAAATTGCGGCAGATCACGACCCGCACACCGATCATGAAGCAGATAGTGCACATGCAGACAATTATTCTTGATAGGGGCGGGGCATTATTGTCATAAGTATGCAGCAGTATAGGGACTGTATCGTGTTACAACTCCCTGTGTATGAAGTACCCGAATCCGCAACGGATCTCGAAACATCAGGTGAATAAAATTAATGTCCCAGCGACCACATCTGTATCTTTTCAATTTCTAGTTACAGTACGCGCCAGAGTTCGTGCAACATGCCGATATATGCGAAAGATTGATACTCTTTCGCTAATCGGCATTGACTCAGTTTGGGATAATGCTTATTGTGTAGTCTATTCTGAAGCAATTTCAGTCATGATAGGATGCAGGCTTTTTAACAAGCTTCCTTCTGACCACTAACAAAACGTGTGTACTGTAAAAAGTAACTACTTACATAGTATGCGTTTTTATCATTGATTTTGACTGCCTTTATAAATTGGAGTATGTTTTATGGGAAAAGTGAACGAAAAAAATTATTCCTTGTACTCCTGTGGTAGAAAATTAAGCCGTCTTCAAATTTTATACTTAAAGAAACAGTATCTTGCTTTTTTAAAAAGGTTTCTGAATTGCCGAAAATTCTTGAAAACTATTAATTGCCACACTAGAATTCAAAGTTTACAACCTGCTCACCATGCGCATGCTGTTTTGGGATAAATACGTTTTCACCTATAATCTGAGAAAGAAGTCACATAATTATCATAAAATTTCGTAATGTGGAGCATGCTTTATACAGTATACGAAGCATTAATAAATCGATGGATACGATGTATTATGAATGAAAACCTCACAATCGTAAAAAAGCTCATAATTCGACATTTTTCTAAAACCGAAAGATACCCTTTCTTTAAGTATAAGATTTAAAGGACGCATAATTTGCTACGAAATGCGTACAGGAAATAATTTGTCATTCATGTTTTCCACAAAATATATTTGAATTTATAAAGACACTCAAAATCAATGATAAAAACGCCTACTATTTAAGTAGTTACTTTTTTACAGTACACAGGTTTTGTTAGTGGTCAGAAGGAAACTTGTTAAAAAGCCCGCATCCTATCATGGTTGAAATTGCTTCCGAATAGACTACATGATAATCAGTAGTATAACCATACTTAATACCGATTAGTGAAAGAATATCAACCTTCCGGATATATCGGTATGTTGCACGAATTCTGGCGCGTACTGTATTTAAAGTTGGCCCACAAGGGACTTTATGCATACTTTCAGCGCCCTCCTTGGCTACCCTGACTCGAATTGAGTTCTACATGTCCATAACTGCATTTTGCCGCTTTACGCTACAGTGATGTAAAACGGTAGCTTCAATTCCCTTCATCCCAATCTGCCTCCCATTGGCTATGAGAAATAACTGAACGTCATCACCCTTTTTATAGCAGTGGGTTAGGGTTAATAGGTAAAACCCTTGCCAGTGCGATTTTCAGACCCGGTTCTTTCTGGGAGCAAGAAGAAGTGAGAGGCCAAAGTGGAAAAAACATTTTATTCTGTACAGAAGACGGGGAGAATATATAGGAGGAAGCTGACTCTCGGACAAGTCCATTCCGGCCGCTGGGGAGCCGGGTCCGGAGTGGGTTAGCGAGGGAGTCGCCACAAGCGGTCACAGAGGTCTTTTTGTGAGTCAACCTCTGAGAGATGATTGTTCAGAATTGGTGAGGCGGGTGGAGGCATGTGCGATCGTTAGCCACCGTGACGTATCGAGCATTGGCGCGGTTTGCGGCACCTACGATTGGCTGTCCCTCAGGCGACCGAGACTGCCATCACATGACCTCATGTGTGGCGTGACGCGAAAGGAGGAAGTGACACCACAGGGCTACTAAATTCTCCCTATCACTATCGTTCATTGGCTGCTTTAAAGTCTTTCTTTCCTACCCTAAAGTACTTGCGGTTATGAATGATCGACAAAGTGTGGGCAATGCATGTTATCCCTTCAACGTTTACAACACAGAACCTCTCTTGGATCGACAAAATGTGTTAACATTTCAAGGAAAGGCCTTTCCTTGAAATTACATTTCTTGGGATGCCGGCCTTTCAGTTTGTGTTAAATTTATTTCTTGCATTAACAGCTAAAGATTTATTTTGTTCCGATATTCAGATGCCGTTGTTTTTCTTCTACTCGCAGAATCCTCCGGTGGTTTTCGCTTGGTCATGACTGCAACTTCCAACGAAATGGAGGGTTGGCCTTACATGGGTGAGGAGTGGACTATGGAAGACGACATTTTACAGGCAAAAAGGATAGCTGACTTGCTATCGGATTTGCAGTGGGGCGGAGATGACTCGGTTGACACTAAGAGTGCTACAAACGTCCTACTCAGTCAGGTTTGGAGCGACGAATTAAAACGTGGCGAAGGCGCCTGGCCGCCCTTGCGACGTAAACAGGAGATGCACCTACAGTTACTCAGCTTCTTGCGCGTTGCTTGCCCACAAGCCTGGCTTGTGGGGTCTATGGATACGACCAAGGGCGAATTCTACCAGATAATTCACACTGAGCCGGGGGACGCTCCAGTCGCAAACGTCCCTGGGCCATGGCCTCCAGTAGGTGGAAAAGCTCTGCCTCGACGTTTCGCATTCCATGGCATGGACATGCTCATTCTGACTGGAAGGGAGATGGGCTCTAAGGAGGGCGGTTCGGAGCGGCAGCAAAGATTTAGAAGCTACGAGGCCAAACTGCAATCAGCATTCAAGGAGTTTATCCACGGCAACGCTTTGGACCCTAAATGTCTGGCCGCGAAGGGAGGTTTGTCCGGAATTTTTCTATTTTGCTGTGAACTGCAACAGCGGATTCCCTAGCCCCTGAAACGTCAAACGAAATTCTGAAATTTGTTTTAATTTTGAACAAACAACTCAAGCATGCTTGCAATACTGATTATCGTACAGCCTCATTTGAAGATATTTTAGCCACGCCGGATCGCCGGTTTTTGAACGAGCCTTTTCCTGATTGCGAGCAAAAACACAATTCTGAATAAATGGCGATTTCAGTAGTAAAATAGTCGCCAAAAATCACGCAACATGCCGACAAATGCGAAAGATTGATACTCTTTCGCTAATCGGCAATGACTCAGGTTGTGATACTGATTATCGCGTAGTCTATTCTGAAGTCATTTCAGTCATGACAGGATGCGGGCTTTTTAACGAGCTTCGTTCTGATCACTAGCAAAACTTATCTATTGTAAAAACTGGCAACGTAAGTTGTATGTCTTTTCATCATTTATTTTGACTGCTTTTATAAATTCAAATATATCTTATGGAAAACATGCACAAAAAATATTTCTTGTGCTTGTTTGATAGAAAATTACGCCTTTTTTAAAAGTTTTACTCAAAGAGAGGGAAGCTTTTGTTTTTAAAAATTTGCCCCATTGCCGAATAATTTACTAACCTAGTGACTGCTACTCTCGAATTCAAGGTTTAGAAACTGCGCACTGTGTACATCCTGTTTAAGGAATAGTACGTTTTCGCCTACA